TATATATTAATTATATAATTTTGCATCAGTTAACAATTAGGTTGTTTTCCACTTAGGGGTAGAGGGACTCTTAATKAAAGGCCAACAATCTTAAGGAGTTCATGAGAATTTTGATGCACAGAGGTTATCAAAATTAATTTTAGACTTGTTCAAAATAACACATTTAGTGGATCATTGCAGTCTGTGATGGAACATATAAAAATCTTCTGTTACACAGAGGGGTGTGTTTGATGAATTCTTGTGTTTTATGAAATGGGTTTTATTGAAAAAGCAGGTGTTTATTGTTAGGTACAAACATTGGGGAATTCAGGAAACAAAAAGGTTAAGAACCAGTGAGTACCTCGTTGAATTTGTACTAGTTTTCTATTCATTTAAATCAGAGTTAGGGACATTTACTCCTAATGTTTGTAAAACATTTTAAATTAAAAAATGGCTCTATAGCTAAATAAAAGCTGACTGAAATAGTTCCTGTTTCTTTCTTTTTRCAGCAGCAACTGAGCTCTTCAGATGAAGATGCTGCATCGCTGCTGAATGATGGCTGCAAGCTGCAGGAGAATGAGCGCCTCAGGGATGAGTGGAAGACCCTGGAGAAACAGAGGAAGATCTTTGAGAGGGAGAGGAAGAACTTCACTGAAGCAGCTATTAGACTTAGCCATGAGGTGAATAAAAATGTTTGCCAAATTTACTGATTCAAATTTTGCTCATTTAGATGTTTTTAAAATTTCTTGTTTCTTTTTTACTTGCAGAGGAAGCTCTTTGAAGAGGACCGGGCAACATGGCTCAAACACCAGTTTCTAAGTATGACTTCATTTAAAAACTAAAAAAATCTCAGTTTTCAAAATGTATAAATGCCTTTTTATTTTTTGAAAGTCTCTTTGGATTTTCTCTGTGATTATGATCCAAACACAATGAACAAATGCTTTTCTGGAGAATAAATGAACAAATGAAATAACATATCAGTCTCAGTTTAAATGGAGTGTATTGAGAACTGATGATAATAGACTAAAACATAACAATCTGCAGATAATACAATTAGCATATTTTTTCAGAATAAAACATCTTGAGCTATTTTCACAGTTTTGAAAATCAAATATAAAATAATATAATATACAAATAAAAAAACGAAGTCTCAGTTTTCAACATTCATTCAGGTATTATTTTATCTTAGCAGCTGAAACAAAAGTTGRCTCACTTTTGGCTCCAGAAAAGCTCATCGACTGTCACTCAGCTTCTTCTACACCCAACCTTTCTCACATGTCGCCTCCCATGGCTGACTTACAGCACACAATTAGCCTCATTCCTGAAGACAGGTATGGTGCTTTTTCCCATTTTAATTTCTGAAAAATATGTATTTGAATTTGGCTATATTTTAATTATCTTGGTCTGTAAAATATGACTTCCAGATCTACAAAACCTAAGAGACAACYTGAAGAAACAGTCATTGTTTGTGGAAATGATCATCTCCAGGACAAACAGTGGACCGACAGTGAAAATCTCAGCAGCTCTTCACTCACACAGGAGAAGAACTGCACTATATGAAGACAGAAAGTTATTTATATACTGTCTGTGATTATGTATGAATTTAGAAATAGATGTGACTGATGAATAAAACTTCACAGATTGTAAAATAACTTGTTGTAACCAAATGTAATTTGGTTAGCTGGTTGTATTTTGTGCTGGAGCAAAATTAGAAATAATTGCATTCTTTTTTTAGTATTTCTTTTAGAGAAAGTGGTAAATTTATCATTATGGTTCTGTAAACTTATATTTCAGTAAGCATTTATGTGGAATAACTACCTGATTTTTTTTCAGTGAAAAAATGTGCAACAAGTGATCCCGTTTTATTTACCCGGTACTTACTGAATAATATTGGTAAATGTTGATGTTAMTATATCATATAAAACTTTTGAAGTCACTGTTTTAGATTAATGCATCTGTTTCTATGAGAGCAATGAGAAACTTAAACAAAAAAATAAAAATATTGTATGAATCTTCAGATTTCATATCAGATTACTAGAGTCTGATTTGCAGTGTTCCTTTTTAGCTATTTTTGCAGTTTCTGTGTAAAAGGCTGTAAAACAAATAYGATGCATTGGACTTTAAAATATAACTGAACTACATAAGTGTTAGAATAACTGAATTAATTTATTTTGTATTGACTGATTGTAAGTTGTTCCTCTACAATGTGAAATGACACATTAACGTTTATTTTCTCAAATAATATATTTTACATTTATAAACTCAAGAAGCTTCCTAATTTTTGTCMTTTTAAATTTGTTTTATGAGCTAGTTTCTATTTTTTTCACCTACACAGTCAGTCCATGGACGTTCCAATGTGCCATGTGACTGCAATATAAAGATGCTGTGATGAGGTGAAGTTCGGTAGGAGTATTAATACACAGGTAAGGACYTCTACACTCTGTCAAAATAAAACTGTACTTGTACATTTTTAAACTCCACTGTGTAGCAACAACCATTAAATATTGGAACATTTTTTTATCTGACTTGTGCATTCATCTGAGTAGTAAACATTTGTGGAACTGAAGCTGTTCAAGACTTTTTACATGCTAATGTTTAAGTTTGTTTCAAATATTCTATTAAATGCACTCAATCGAAAAGTTAATTTCACCATTAGTGATATTTGTTTGTTAAAAATCTAGTGTTTGTAAACTGATTTGGAAGTTTGTCTGCCAAAATGTTTTTAAGGATTGCCATTACAATGTCTATTATTAGTTGTCGTTATTAAAGAGGTAGGTCAGATCATGTTGTCAAAAGTATCAAGACTGTTAAAATAGGTTATAAAGAAAAAAACTTKGGAGTTAAAAAATTGCACTTAAATTGATCAAAATGCTCTGACTTGTGCATTCAACTGAGTAGTAAATAAATATTTGTGGAACTAAAGATGTTAAAGACTATTTACATGCTAATGACGATTAAGTTAAGTGACATTTTTGCCACTGTGGGTTTAGGGTGACATATTTAAATGTTGAAAGGGGCGTTTTTAAATTGGGAAATAATTTGCTTGTTGAAAATAAGCATTTTTCTTATACAATTTCAATAAAGACACCAAACAAWCCCCATTAAATGATTTTGAGATGGTTCATTTATAGTTAGATAAAACACACACTGATATTAGGTATTGACAGTAGATGGTGGTTTTAAGAACACTTGGCGTTGCAGCTACAGGCCAGGTGAGCCTGTGTGTTTTCTCTCAGGTCTACACTTCTGTCAAAGATGTTGGTGTCAGAATCTGTAAAAAACAGAACAAATCAGAAATAATGTTTTTGTTTTATGTTCAATACA